TTTAATATATCTAATTAAACAATAAATAAAGGTAAGTTTTCAATTTTTTTATTTGAATTTTATTTTTAAAAATGATTTTATTTAATATATTTTAATCATAATTTATGATATGTATGATAAATTTATTTATTATTATTATTTGTTAATTTTATTTTTTGAAAAAATGATTTCTACACACATGGGAATGAGAAAACTTTCCATGAAGTATGAAATGGCTAATCCCATGGAGATGGGTTTTGTGATTCCTATTGGAATGATCATTCTTTTCCAAAAATTATTCCAATTATGGGACAAAGAATGAGTAAGGAAATGGCAGCAGCAGCAGCATTATTATTATTATTATTATTATTATTATTATTATTATTATTATTATTATTATTATTATTATTATTATTATTATTATTATTATTATTATTACTTTTGAATAAGTGACGCAGCAAAAGCAAGAACGAGAAGGAACAAGAGATTAAACTCACAAATCGATTTTTATTTCTGCTAAAAACTGAACTCGTCTCTGATGATCCAAATGATAAATAAGAAAGAGCCCTCTACTTCCAAAAATTCCTATTTAGGCTAACAAGAGGAATAAGGCAAATAAAAAAATACCTACCTTCTAAAAATTGGAAATAAAGAAATAATAGTAATAATAATAAACAACAACAACAACAACAAAGTTTTTTAGTCCCAAACAAGTTGAAGTAGGCTAGAGATGAAACCCAATAGAAACAGTGCTAAAATAATAATAATAACTTAGACTAATAAATAATAATAAAATTAGACTAGAGAAGCCAATCGATATAATAATAAAATTAGACATAAATAACTTAGACTAGAGAAGCCAATCGATCGTGCCGATCCAAGAACGCGAGGGCAATCTTGTCTTCATCGTGGAATTCTAAATATAAGTTAGAAGATCTAAGAGTCATTCAAAAGTCTTGTATGGAAAAACTAAGAAGATAGTCTTGATGGGGATCGAGAGTCTTATGAAGACTACAAAAACTATATATATGAATGTACTCTCATAAGAATGAATCGGTTAATATTGAATAAAATTACGAATTATCGTGAGTTCTTATACTCTCGTGTCTATGCTTCTGCCTGCATTAGAGGACTATATTCACCACAAAAGATGACATATTCAATTTATCAGATAACGAAGGATATATCAACTATAAATTATGCAGTACTTCTTAAGATTTTACCTCAGAAGTAACTTTCTGTTCGGATGTACTGGCTTCAGAGCTAGTTGAGGTCTTCACGGGTCCTGGACAGACAACGGTTACCTTGATTCCCCTTTTACAAAGCTGAATATGAGAAAGAAAAAAACAATTATACCGGAAAATAAAAGATTTCTTGAACAGCCAAGATTATTAATTTTCCTGTCCATCGGGTTTTGAGAGCCGCTGCATCTAATGACTTCATTTGATTTGACTGATCCAAAAGGGGTAAACTGTTTGCTGCTAAAAAAACCTCTAAAGCCACACTCTGACAGCAGTGTGGTTATAACACTATTAAATCAGGTTGGCACTTTAAAAAAGAAATGTCAGTGATATAAGAGCAAGTAGTACCTCAGATCGAAGTGTATGAAAATAACCATTTACGGCAAACTTGGAGGCAGAGTACACCGCTTGACCAGGTGCAGGTGTCTTTCCGGCTGCACTACTCATCTAAATTACAGGGAGGAATCATATGGAAGCAGTTCAAAGAAGGAGGGAAATAGTCATATTGTTTTACATATATACCAAGAAGAATCCACAAAGCAACCCCACAATAACATACCACAACAAAATGCCCTCTGCCACGATTCAGCATGTGAGGGCACAGGTGCCGGGTCAGAGAAATTGGCCCCAGAACATTGACATCAAATGTCGCCTTAACAGAAAAGCGGACAATCAAATTATTTCCATCCTTAAAAATGAAGAGAAATAAACATACAAAGATTCAGAGCTCAAAGTAGAGACTAACTGAACAAAAAGCACTTGAAGTCATTTGAGTCATAGTATCACTGTAACAAAGTTTTGACTGAATGCCTTTTTCCTTAGGCTCTTTTCCATTAAATAGAAATTTGAGTACAATCTATCTTAGGTAACTTGCTCATCTAGCTCCTAGTCTACCGCCCTATTTAATCCTTACAATTAATGGTCTGCCATAAGTTACTCTTTTACAATTAAAGGTCAACCATAAGTTACTCCTTTACAATTAAGGGTCAGCCATAAGTTACTCCATAATTTCTGCCTTGTTATCCCCCCCTCAAATTGATGCTGGATGGTCAAGAAGCATCAATTTGTCAACTAGGAACTGATGTCGATTCGAAGAAAGTGCTTTAGTAAAAACATCTGCAGTTTGAAGAGCTGTGGGGATATGTGGAAGAGAGATGATAGAATCATCGTATGCTTCACGAATAGAATGACAATCTACCTCGATATGCTTAGTGCGTTCATGAAACACCGGATTAGCAGCTATTTGAATAGCACTAGTGTTATCAGCATGAAGCGGAGTAGGTTTAGTTTGGGTAAATCCAAGCTCACCTAGTAACCCACGAAGCCAAATTATTTCAGAGCACGCAGAGGACATAGCTCGATATTCAGACTCGGTAGATGACTTAGACACGTGATCTTGTTTCTTGCTTTTCCAAGAAACAAGAGAGTTACCAAGAAACATGCACCAACCAGTGACAGAACGTCGCGTATCAGCACACCCAGCCCAATCAGCATCATTGTATGCAACTAATTGTGTGGAAGAATTGGCTGGGAAGAAAAGACCACGAGTAGACGAGCCTTGTAGATACCGAATGATGCGACGGACATCATACAAGTGAAGAGTGGTAGGTGCTTGCATAAACTGACTTACTTGTTGAACTGCAAAAGAAATATCTGGTCGAGTGATAGTCAGATAGTTTAGGCTACCAACAAGTTGCCGATATAAAGAAGGATTTGGCAAAAAATCACCATCGTCACGTCGATATTTGACATTGACTTCCAATGGAGTTTCAACTGAACGACTTTGTTGAAGGCAAGCCAAAGCAACCAAATCTTGGATGTATTTATGCTGGTGTAGAAAAGTGCCAGTTGAGGTAGATTGCACTTCAAGACCTAAAAAATACTGTAAAGAACCCAAGTCTTTCATATGAAAAGCACTCTGAAGTCGGTCTTGAAGTTGGGAAATCAATTGAGTGTCTGTCCCTGTATCCCTGTAATGACAATGTCATCAACATATACCAAGAGCATGACAATGCCCTTTGCAGTCTTGTAAAGAAACAAAGAGGAATCATAGCGACTCTAAACAAAAGAGAAGCTAAGAAGTGTAGATCGAAACTTATCAAACCAAGCACGGGGAGCCTGTTTTAATCCATAGAGTGAACGCTTAAGCTTACAAACATCAGAAGATGGTGTAGAATAGAAAATAATCCTGGTGGTGGAAGCATGTAAATATCTTCTTTAAGATCTCCTTGTAGAAAAGCATTCTTAACATCCATTTGCCTCAACGACCAGCCTTTAGAAGCAGCAATAGCTAGAACAAGCCTCACAGTTGTCATCTTCGCTACTGGAGCAAATGTCTCCTCATAGTCAACCCCATACTCATGTCTGTTCCCAAGAGCTACCAATCGTGCTTTATGTATGTCAAGCGTGCCATCAGATCGTAATTTAAGAGAATATACCCACTTACATCCGATAGGTTTAACACGAGTAGGACAAGAAATGATATCCCAAGTCTGATTCTCTTGAAGTGCTTGTAGTTCCTCTTCCATAGACTTTATCCAGCATACTTGTGTTTTGGCCTGAGAGTAAGAGGTAGGTACGCCTAATCAGCTAGAACGGCAGAAAAACCATACCGTTCAGGAGGGTGGCTGATGCGAGAAGATCTACGAAGAATAGCTGTAGATGGATCAGGATGTTGAACTTGTGTAGAAGAATGGCGTCGTTGGTAAACAATTCCAGGTTTAAAACGCTCAGTTGTTGGCTGTTGAACTTGATGGTTGTCATCAAAACTAGGAAGGATAACCCTGCTGGAAGCTGGAAGGAGAGATGAGCTGTTGAAAATAAAACTCATTTTCAAAAAAAATGACATTGCGAGAAATCCGTATACGATGAGCTACAACATCATAGCACAAGAAACCTTTGTGAGCAGTACTATCCCATAAAAGCACACCTAACAGACTGAGCTGCAAGTTTGTGACGCTCATGAGAAGGCAAATGAACAAAGCAACGCAGCCAAAAGTATGCAACTTAGAGTAATCAGGATGTATGCCAAACAAACGGTAGAAAGGTGAATCAAAAGTCAGTTGTTGAGAGGGCAATCGATTGATCAAATAGACAGCAGTAGACAAAGCTTCTACCCAAAATTTAGCCGGAACTGAAGAATGCAACAGTAATGTTCTAACCATATCCAACAAGTGACGATTTTTCTGTTCAGCTACCTCATTTTGTTGCGGGGTATAAGGGCATGAACGCTGAGACATGATACCTTTTTGCTGCAAAAACGATTGAAACTCATGTGATGTGTATTCACCACCATTATCCGAGCGAAGTACCTTGATACAAGTCGAAAATTGCCTCTCAACATAAGCCAGAAAAGTTTGAAAAGCATTCAACACCTCTGATTTTGTGCGCAGAAAATATATCCATGTGAAGCGACTATAGTCATCTATAAACGTCACAAAATATTTATACTGAGCATGTGAAGTAATAGGTGTAATGCCACAAACATCAGAATGTACTAGATCAAAACATCTATCTGCCATCAGTAGGAAAAGGTAAAATCTTACTCTTCCCTAGTTTGCAGGTAGAACAACCATTAGACAAACCAGAATTTAGACACTTATCCTTGGAACCAAGAAAACCTTGTTTCATTAAATGAGATAAAATTACATCATTTAGGTGGCCTAATCGTTTATGCCAGCTTTCAGCCTTATTATCAACTACCATAGAAGCTAAACATAAAGCTTGTGGAGCAGTAAACTGCAATGGAAATAATCTTCCAACTTTAGGCCCCTTCGCTATCACCCTCCCCGACACTTGATCCTGCACAAGACAACCATTTCGAGAAAAATGCACTTCACAGTCATCATCCACCAATTGTCAACAGAAATCAAGTTAATAGATAATTCAGGCGAGACAACACATCACGAAAAGAAGGACCAATATCACCAATGGCCGTTATTGGAATGTTATTGTCATTAGCAACCTGAATATTTTGTGTGCCAGTATATTTCCGAAGGTTATGTAGAAGCTTAGGAGAACCAGTCATATGATTAGATGCTGCAGAATCAGAAAACCAGGTAAAAGAGACCATGTTACCTTGACCTTGGAGTCCAAGAGCAGAAAATGCAGTACAAATCATTTGTTGGACCATTTCTGGAGTCATAATGGGTTGATTTGTGATATTTGCTGCAGAACCAAGAACTTGCGAACCTGAAACAGTAGCTTGAAAGGCTTGTGCTTTTCGATTTTCTGGCCTTGTTGGACACTCTTTAATGATGTGTCCATTTTGCTTGCAATAGTTGCAGAATTTCTTTGTACAGTTGCGAGCTATGTGTCCCATCTCTTTGCAACTGTAGCACTGAACGGAACCCTTTCCTCGATTCTTCCCTTGAGCAGCAAAAGCAACATTGAGAACCTGAGATGTTTCTTTTGACCCCCCCATGACAGCAAGAGTAGCCAATCGTTGTTCCTCACGAAGTCGTTCACCAAGATAAACATCTAATGTGGGTGCTGGACTTCGATTCAATAAACCTGCCCTGGCGCTCTCAAATTCTGGTCTCAGCTTCATCAAAAACTGATAACGCTTGCTCACTTCATGAACCTCTTGAAGGCTTACCAAGGCCTCATTAGATACGCTGGAATAGAGAATATCAGAATATTCACTCCAAAGATTTATAAAACCAGAATAATACTGATCAATGGAAAGATTGCCTTGGCCAAAATTGTTGATGTCAAGTTCAAGTTGAAATCGCCGAGCAGTATTTTCTTGATTGTATACACGCTTCAAGAAATCCCACATCTGTTTAGCTGTACGAAATGATCGTAGGCTGTTGACCATATGACTTTCAATGGATGCTAGAATCCAAGAAATAATTTTGGCATCCTTACTCTCCCATTGACTGAGTTCCCTAGCTTCTTTAGGAGGAGGAGATGTTCCATCAATGTGATTCCAGAGATCCTTACTCTCCCATTGACTGAGTTCCCTAGCTTCTTTAGGAGGAGGAGATGTTCCATCAATGTGATTCCAGAGTTCCTTTCCTTTCAGAAACATTCTAAACTGAAATTCCCAAGCACCATAGTTTTTCCCTGTAAATTTGAAACTCAAAGTCTCTACAGGCAGTTTTCCAACATGATCTGCAGCAGACATTCTAACTAGAAGAAAGCTTTTATCTTCTCCCAAAAAAAATATTCAACCACTATGTGATTGACCCAAATTCCCCAACGAAGTTGTTAATCAAAAAATTTGATCAACCAAAATCTCTGAAAATTTCCTAGAAAAAAAAAAATAAAGTGGCTCTGATACCATAACAAAGTTTTGACTGAATGCCTTTTTCCTTAGGCTCTTTTCCATTAAATAGAAATTTGAGTACAATCTATCTTAGGTAACCTGCTCATCTAGCTCCTAGTCTACCGCCCTATTTAATCTTAAAACATAACTCTGAATATTTACAATTAATGGTCAGCCATAAGTTACTCTTTTACAATTAAAGGTCAACCATAAGTTACTCCTTTACAACTAAGGGTCAGTCATAAGTTACTCCATAATTTCTGCCTTGTTACACTGCAGCTTCAGAAATAAAGATGGACATGCAAACTGATCCGGAAAGGAAATTCACTAGATTTCTGGAATTATTTAACTAGATTATAGAAAGACCTAAAACAATTTGTTGTCCAACCTGAACAAACAAGTAGCAATCAATGATTTATTACCAACATATGATACCTTGAGGCTTTCTTCAGTCACATCTAATGCCATCGATTTCTGCAAGAAAAACAAACTCAAACTACCAGCTCAAAAGGTATTTATGTATATGTTTTATTATAAAAATTTAATTGATTTGATTTAAAAAGTTTAGTAGATGTGCAGATTTACAAGAAGCTAAGAAAACAAACATAATTTATCCTTTAAATGCATTGACTTACAGGGCGTTCATAAGCTGCATTGTGGAACATGTAATCCACTCCGGAAGCCCCAAAAAATGATTCTGCTCTCTGCACTGCCTCTTTCAGATGTTCTTCTCCCCGAGACAAATCCAGAGGCAAAATCTTCACCTCATCTGGGGCATGTTTTCCTGGCTTATCATCAAATTATTAATTTAAGGAAACATAGAATCATATATAATCAATCAGACAACACGAATTTAGATCATAGGATCACAAACCAGTTAGCTCCTTCTTGACACGCTTAAGTTCCTCTTCATTTCTAGCAGAGATAATGAGCTTGGCTCCCAAACTTGCAAGTTGTTTAGCAAGTATTTCTCCTAATATGAGATACAAAACCTGGTCAGTGCTCCAAAATGCACAACAGTGGAGCAATGTTTTTGGTAGATGCAATAATTGGACTATTTCCCTTAACACCAAGCCACTAGAAATCTTTTTACAGTATTTTCAACATGAGGAGGTTTCTAAGAATATAAGAGAAGTGACATAATGCAGACTTAAACAGGAAACCCAAAAGCACGAACAAATTGAAACCTAGAGCTGAAAGACAGGAATAAAAATGTGTGTTCAAATCCACATACACTATTGTCGAATTTCTATCTATGAAGAATGACTTAACCTGTGCACAATGCATACTCAATGAAAAATAATCAGATGAGATTAAACCAAATAAAAAAATTCTCCCAAATTGGTGATTGTCAACAATCATCATATGTTATGGTTTTGAATTTAAGAAAATCGAGCTGCAGCTTACACAGAAATATCTGATCCTCAAATTGTAACGGTGCAAGATAATAACAAAACTAAAGCAACATTATAAGAGGGGAGAAAGGGAGAGAACAGTAAGCACATACCAATACCACGGCTGGCTCCAGTAATCCAAATAACCTATAAAATTCATGCAACAAGTAACAGGAGTTTGTCAAACCAACAAATTACGTCAAGAATACATAACAATTATCCAGATCAGTGAGAACGAAAGCTCACGGGACCTTATCCTCGATTTCTTCGCGCTTCACGTGTTTCTTGGACAACAACGTCAGATCACCTGGTGCCATAAACCAATTCCAACATCAGTACAAATGTAAACGAGGATCTAGGAAATACTGAAGAAGAAGAAGAAGAAGCTCCACTTGCCACTATAACATCCAAAGAAAATATAAGTTGATTGAAAATGTACCGTCGGCTTTGAGAAATTTGAAGAAGAAAGCGAAGATGAATAAAACTAGAATTAATGGAGGAAATAAGAAAATCATCATCAGTCTACGATCCTTGGTTTATGAGCTTGGAGCAATGGAGTGCGGACTATGGAGTTATCTTCGACACAAGATAAAAAAGCATATACCGTCAGGTCGTTGTGAAATTAATAGCGATTTCGTTGTTTTTACCTTTTTTTTT